GACCTGAAACTAAGAAACCTACACATAAAATATGTATAAAACAGTTATTAACAATAAAATTGGTCTTGATTACATAGCTTTTTTAACCTTTTAAAAGCGTGACAAAATTAGCAGAGAGCAAGACTGTATGTGTGTGTCTGCTGGAAAGGGTTTCTGTGTAATTACAAGCCCTCCAATCAGTATAGTTCTTGGCGCCAGAATATTTGGGGGAAAAAAAAAAAAAAAAACCCAAAAATTTAAAATATGCTTGGTCTTTCTCAAGTCTTTTTACTACTCCCTGCCTTTGTTTGCCTTGCTTAGGAAAACCAGCTGGTATTAATTGCGCTTCGTACACCACCACCATGAACAGCAGCCAGATATCAGAAAATAAGGCCTAATAACAGGAATCCACTCGATTGTTTTTAAAAAAAAAAAAAATTAACCATTACCGCTCAGCGTTCGGAAAAGCAGTAAAATGAGAGAAATCAAAAGAAAAGGCAGGAAGGAGGCTGGTGTATGAGGAATGTGAGAAACTACAATCACAGAAGGAGAAACAGAAATCTAGGTTACTTAACGGTAATCAGACTCCTCTAAACATATTGTCCGCCGCAAGCGAAGCTGGGAGATGTCGCACACTCGTGCGGAGCAGGTAGCCCAGGGCTCGGCACGTGCCCGGGGGCAGAGGCGGTGCAGAAGTGTCACATAAGAAGTCAGAGATGGAAGGGAGCTGTTATCTCAGCCTTTTCACCTCTTTTCCCAGTCTTAAAATTATCCCTTCTGATGTCTTTTCTAGCCTTACTTCAAGTGATTGCTTCACCTGAGTACTGCACGGGAGAAGAGAGAAAATTCTGGACCTGGCATAGCTTTCCTTGCCTGAAGGTATGCTGTGAACTGTGTTGAACTGGGAGTAGGTGGGGGGAAAAAAAAGGAAGATTGGGAAAAAAAAATTGAAATTCTGAAAAATGTTGAAAAAAAGAATACCGATTCCTCAAAAACCTCATCCTGAAGGGCTGCAAACCAGGAGTCCCAGACGCAGCGCTGGATCTAAGGGAGAAGTGTCGCCTCTCTCTCTGACAGCAATTCCTCTCCCTCTAAAATGGGAAAAGAATCAGGTTATTTGCAAAGATTTGCTAAGACTTCTAGTTTAATTGCAAGAAGTGTAAAGCCAAAATCTGCTCTTCTGTACGCGCGAGAAAGCAATTTGTTTGTCCCTCTCGTTAGATAAAGACACGGAGGGTGAAGACGATGGGAAGCACAATCACAAGTCAACCGATTTGTCATTTCATGAGCCTTCTCCCCGCGTCGCTTGCCAACTGCAAACATGGAAGGGGCTTGCTTTAATTAATACTGGGTCTCAGCAGACCACTGGAGGCAGTGGCACTTGTTTTCAGGTCATCTGGTCCTAATAGGCTCACACTGGGAGGTGATTTGCTGCTAACTGACAGCAGAGATCAGTTAATGAGGGCTGAGGCCTTACAACCCAACGTAATAAACCTCAGGGCTATTTCTATAGTATTTGTCATCATCATTTAACAAAAAAAAAAAAAAACCACAAAAAAAAAACCTGCTTGAGGAGATGCTGGTTATTAATCCAGATATTTACAATATAAAAATCACTCCCTGCTCTGCAGGATTTTCTCTAGGCTGCTCTGCGTCGGGAATTGAGCACGCAGTAAGTGGTGCTGCGGCGTATCAGGACACGAGCTATTCTGCGGTCACACCCACATCAGTAGCATCCCCAACGGCTCGTCTACACGGGGACATTGGTGCACAGTGACTTCATCTCATTTTTTCACACCCTAAGCGCCACAGGACGCTCCGCTCTGGCAGCGGACCTCCTTCCAACATCAGGAAGGTGAAAGGATCCATGAAGGCTGCCACCCTTCCTTGCTCCCCCAACTGCATCGATGGATCTAAGGAAAGCTCCTGCCTCCCTGTAACAATGTTCTGACTCTCAGAGCACCAGAGCTGTAAAACCACTGCTATTACAGAGCTCGCGGTACCCTTCACACACGCTAAGGGCATCCTAATGGAAGCCCAGTCCAGTGGGGACATCATGGTACTTGCACAAGAAGGCAGAAACACCCTCTTGGCATCTGCACCACTGAAGGAAGATTTCCTCTTGCACAGGCTTGAAATGCTGTTAACTACAGAATACCGTGGCATCATCTTTGCTCACGGTGCTTTTAAAACTGTCCCTGTAATGGACAGCCAAGGTGTGCAAAGTAACCAGGCACTGGGGCTCCTGATGGAGATGCATCTACAAGTTACGTGGACAGATAAATCCCAGCATCGTTTCAGTTTCTGCATTTATTCCAAGCTTGTTGCTCTGTACAGACCACCAGCTCCTTCACCACCAGCGACTAATGGTACAACTAAGGGAGGTGCAAGCCACCGCGGGACGAAGAGCTGATCTACCATCAGCAGACTGATGAGCCACCCACGTGTCACCGGCGGGGGCAGACAGCCACCCTGCAGTAACAGCAGGCCACTGCTGGTTTGCTGTAATTTTTTTTTATCTACAAGTCTTGGTGTAGTTTTTCACAGTGTTTCAGAAGAAGAGTGTTTCCCACCGCACCACCGATGGTCACTTCTGCACTCTGAACCTATCTTGCTGCTTCAGCTCCTTTGCAGTCAGCCTAGGAGGAACCAGAGATTTTAGAATAGAATCCTGGAATCATTTAGGTTGGAAAAGACCTTTAAGATCATCCAGTCCAACCATTAACCTAGCATTACCAAGTCCACACGAAACCAATCAAGGGTAGACTAGACTAAACCACGTCCCAAAGTGCCACCTCTGCCCATTTTTTGAACACTTCCAGGGATGGGGACTCCACCACCTCTCTGGGCAGCCTGGTCCAATGCTTGACTACCCTTTCCATGAAGAAATTTTTCCTACTATCCAATCTAAACCTCCCCTGGCGCACCTTGAGCCCATTTCCTCTCGTCCTATCGCTAACTACTTGGGAGAAGAGACCAACACCCACCTCACTACACCCTCCTGTCAGGAGCTGCAGAGCGATCAGGTCTCCCCTCAGCCTCCTCTTCTCCAGGCTGAACACCCCCAGCTCCCTCAGCCGCTCCCCACCAGCCCTGTGCTCCAGACCCTTCCCCAGCTCCGTTGCCCTTCTCTGGACATGCTCCAGCCCCTCAATGTCCTTCTTGTGCTGAGGGGCCCAAAACTGGGCACAGGATTCCAGGTGCGGCCTGGAAAAAGACCTGCATCAGCTGTCCTAACACGGACATCTCCGCTCGCCGCCCAAGTGGTTTCCTTACCAAAGCCTGTCAGCTTCTCAGGGTGACAAAACTCTGCCAACATCCCTTCGCGTGTCTCCTGCCCTCTATCTGCCCCCGTTGCCAAAACGGAGAGGAGCATTAATGCCACCAACATGGAACCAGTCATCATCCCTCTGCTGCAGCTGCGCTGGGGGCTGGAAGGCAGGTTGTGAGCGGCAGCAGCACATCAAGCTGGAGGAAAAAATTCTGAACTAAGGACCGAGGAGGACAGTCAAGCTCTCCCATGCTACACTGGGAAACAGCGGACGGAGAATGGCTGCTAACCGAAGTGTTGAGGTTGGTGGGATGGGGACTCCAGATTGTACTTCAGCTGCAAAAGCGTGGACCTGGTGTGGACACATCTTCGTGGGGTTATGAAGCGTGGGAGATCACACCAACGCAAGGCTGGTCTGCGTGCACAGTCTGGGTTAATTCTGCAGTGAAGGGGTAATACAGGTGACACAGAGGAGCAGTCCGGCGACCAGCGAGCAAGCCAAGCCAGTGATACGGAAAACTATCAAGCAGAAGCATATCCAATAAAACAGACGGTTTCCACTCAAAACTACAAGGCGCTTCACCAACTCTACGCTCTTTGCTACCACGGGTGCAAAGCTGTCTGGCAGCTGCAGGAGAACACGGAGATACGCTTTGTGTGGACTTTCTGCTGTCCACTGTGGACATGACGGGCCAAACCGCTCACTGCCACTTCCCAGCCCGGAGCTCCTGCCTCTGTAGTTCTCCTAACACTCTGCAGCCTGCTCTAGACAAACATTTTACCTTGTAAAGAAATCTAAACAAGCCCACGCAGCTTCTTCCCCGAAGGTGAATTGGGGAACCTGGGTACAAACGGCGTGGTGAGCAGGCTGAGTGCTGACCTCCTCCCATGGCACAGTCTGTCTGCAGAAAAAAATGCCTGGAAATGGATGTCTGTGGCTTGAGAAAAAGGAAAAAAGTTTTGGCCAGAGGAAAAAAATACAAACTGCTGTGGGATCCTTAATGTTCCAGCAGAAAGGGTACAACTGTACGTTTCAGAGGCCTATTTGAAAACCCAACGTAAGAAATAACTTCCCTAAGTTGCTCCTGAAAAATGTACCTGCCTCCTCGGGAATTAGCTGACCCTGCTAAAGATGGCAACTTGTGCTTCTGGGGAATCTGAGTATCAGAAGCCCGATGACTGCACCACAAGACCATGATTTTAGCAATGTTAAAAGCTCCTCTCTTACAGATTACTTCAGATACGACTTGAACACCGTTTCCAGCTTGAGCACCGTCCACAGGTGAAAAATGTCATTTCGAGCACTGTGGTTCTTTCAATGCAAGGTGCTGACCCACCAGGAGAATATCTCCAAAAGCCTGCCTCTGTTCAGCACGTCCGCTGTCACACTATCGCTCTGCAGCCTCAAAGTCACTCTTTTAACTTGGACTAGGCTAATTCACCACGAGTTAATGCACGTGTGGATAATCTGAGTTCACCCAGCAGCAAAGCCACGGTGCAGAGACCCAGGCAAGTGCAGGACATGCTGGAAGCCATCAGCGGTAGAAGTCTCCTTGTGTTGAAAAGTTTGGGCATGCATGGACAGAGACACCTCATGGTTAAAATATTTCCTGGTTATGTAGACCGAATTCTGTCAATTAAAAGATAAACATGCTTGGCAATTCAAACGAACATCTCAAAAGCACTGCAGTACTACTGTAAGGGAGCAGTTACTTAGTAGTGAAATATATAGATATAAAGCGTTACCCACTGCTATTGAGACAGCACTTATGACAGCTCCCAAGTAGCCCTGGATGAACTTGGATGTCGGAGAAGGCTTTGGAAAGAAAAACAAAACATATTTTCAATAAACAAACTTCTGGTTATTAAAATGCAACCAAGCTTTTTTGGTTTGGTTTTGTTTTGTTTTAAAGCAGAGACAGGTTTAATTTTGTCATATTGTTCTGTGACACATGGTCTGTCATCTAGCAGCGGCAAAAGCAAGGAAAATTGTAGCCTCATGAGCAAGGTTAAAGGGAATGGAAAATTAATTGGCATCAGAAAATTATAATAATAGCAGCTTAAAGGAAGCATGTGAATGAAATTCAGCAAGTGGTACAAAATTAGCATTCTTATACACTAGTGATGAACCCCAAACTCTCCACATTAAATATTTGTTTTTGAAATGTTATCTCAATGAGCTGGATGGTTTCCAACTCAGCTTCCCGTCTTGAGCTTCCCGCATCCCGACATGGGATGAATGAAGGCTAAAGCGATGCAAGAGAGCAGGAACAGCCCCACCACATCCTGCCACCATTGCTGGTAGCGCATATAAAGCCCCTGGGAGACAGCAGTGCGATCATGGAGCTGCCTTCTGCTATCCAAAAACCCAGATACCATTTTGCTTTGTGCTCATTTACATATCAAATTAAAGCACTTCATACCACTTAGAACTATATACCGGTTCGGCTCAAAGGCATCGAGCGTTACTTATGCACCTTGAGCAATTTTGAGATCCTCATGCCATTTACAGCTGAGGTTTAAAATGGAAGTCTACCCAGGAGAATGGCCAATCTATAAATTCATCACAGTGCCGACTCTGGAGTTTCTATTAACAGCAAAGAGACAAGACTTATGTTTCCGTGTCAAAACAGACCTAACGCGACGCATATGTTGGGTCTCCTCACCTTTGTCGCGTTGCGGTTTGCATAGTTGACGCAGGCATTGTGGCTCTGATTCAACCACTAAACAGCAAACAAGAAGAGACAGGCATAAACATAACTTCACCAAAATGATAATAATTTAAAAAAGAATCTATAAATGAGTGTCGCAGGAAAACTCATCTCCCTTTGGACCTGCTCACAACCTGCCACCTCTCTTCAGGGGCTCATGCGTGCCCTACATCTCATTTAATGCCCTCTAAAGTGAGGGACAGAAATCCCAAGGCACCCAGTGCCCAGAGCGCAGCCCTGCTTCCCTGTATGCTTGTCCTGCAACTCCTCTCCTGGCCCAATCCACCTCCGCACGACACCTCGGTGCTATTGGTCTTTATTTTCGTCAGCACCAAATCCGTACTGCTGTTAAGATGCAGCAGTAAGCCCAGCAGCCGTTTCATCAGTCACTTATTAAGCTCCACGGTTCTCAAACAGAGGGTCATCGGAGGCTTCAGCGGCGGAACAGGAGATGAGCAGATGTACCATCTTCTGGATACGGATGCCACTAAACTGGTATTTCTATCCACTACTTTTTGGAGCAGGATTTGTCACCAAAGCAGCGTGGCAGCAGCTGGGCATGAGTAGCACCACACTCCTGAAGGGGTTTTACCCACAGCAACGGCTGACAATGTAAAGAAAATTACAGTTTTCATCCCCAAAACACCATGTTCCCAGCTCAGAGCATGTCAGAACTGGACTCCTCTCCAGCTGTGGCCAGAACTAAGATGGAGGAGGAGGAATGAAGTGAGGATGAGGAGAGAGAGTGAAACGAGGCACTAAAACACGGGAATCAGCCCAGTCATTGCTGAGTTCATGGCCCAAGAGAATGGTTTTCCTGCTGACCAGCTTTCTAGCCTGGAACTTCGGACCTAGCAAACCTTGCTTTTTTGTTTTCTTTAAATAATAATTTAAAAAAAAAAAATTACAAAGTCAGCTTGCCAATGTGTGCTGGAAATCTGCCTCAATTTTCCAGATGTGGGGTTTTTTTTTAACGCCCACAGCTCATATCTACGTTAGCAGGTCCACAGGACCAGGCTAGAGCTAACCTGAGACATTTTGGGCACCAGCAACAACTGCTCCACTGTACAAGCCCGCTCCTACAGGACCCAGTGTTTGTTAATGCACTAATACGCACTGTCCCTAAATCCTATGCTAATTACCCAGATAAATCTCCTTTTCAGAGAGATGTAGCCATACTGCTCAGATATTGTCCTTAATCTAGAGTTTAAGCCGTCTCTAGGTTGCAGACATCCCCACTACCCATTTCTTGACTCCATCATCTTCCCAGGTGGCCACCTGACACCCTCTTGGGCTTTTCGGGTGATGTCTCCTTATGTTGCTGCTCCTCCTACTGGCATTTTTGAGAAAGGGGTGACCTATGTGCCCATCATGGTGGAGGGAAGAGTTTGAGAACCACTCCCCAAGCGGCAGTGGCTCAGATGGGCTACGACTGCCGGACTTGCCTGCTACGGCTTCCTCCTTGAGTGGGCTCATTTTGGTTCTGCATTTGAAATATTCTTTCTAGTTTTAAAAGGATTATTCCATCCTCTTAAAGCCAAAAGTTTCTCCCAGCTACGCTGTGATGGTGGGAATAGGAGCTCCTCATGTAAGCCATTCACAAGGCACCCAGCCCAAGCCAGTTATCGGGGCTGGCTCGCTCCTCACTCGCGCAAGAGTAACTTCTCCAAAAGCCAACTCTTTCCATCTTAGACGTCTGAAAACAGGTGAAGCAAGTTGCCTTCAAAACTATGAATGAGTCTAGATGTCTCCAGCCACTATTCCGTTCTCAGCAGGTAAAGCCACATGGCACAACTTATAGCTAAATACACCGAACCACAAGTTGCTGGCGCGTACCGATATATTCTCGGTTCTGCAGTCTTTCTAACATACTAGGCAGATCCCACTCTGCTTTGATATTTCTTAACCGCATAATTCTCTATCATCACTTACACTGTAGACAATAAAAAGACATTCGCAACTAAAAATAAGTCTGAAAGTAACTTGGTTTTGCATTTCAGTTAGGGCTGAAATTATACTTAAGTGGGGTGTTTACTATGGATAAAATTCATTCACGTGTACGCTTCCTCCCCTTACTCTTAATTCCCAGAATTTTAATGGGAAATAACACCAACACCCCCTTACACACTTTTTTCCCCAAACCCTCTGTAGCGCATTGAACGCAGAGGTCGTTGCCTTTGCAATGCACAGCTATTCCCGAAATTCCTGGGCACGGGGCCTCTCCCTGCCCCCAGTCCTGTGCCCACGTTGCACTTCCAACGGGAATTCACCATGGAAGATCCCAACTGCTTGACAGGGTGTCTTCAAAACAGCAGATGTGTGAGGTTAAGGGCCTACATTTTCCTGGAAGTACACACTGTGCAATCATTTACACCTGTACAAAATGGGTCCAAAAAGCCGATTTTGAGATCCCGGGCTATTTTGCATCTCCCTTGTGATGACATAAATAGCTGGGCACTGGAAAGTGGACCCAACAGTTTGCTTATAGCCCCTTCCAGACTTCCCAAACCTTTCCCTAATTATATCCAGCCACATCATCTCCCCATTAACTAACACATTGCCAGCACAGAAGAGCCATGTGCATCAGTCTGCCCTCTAGACACAAGTCAACTGCTGCTTTCCCTTCCATCACGTTCTCCACTGATTCAGACGAGCGTTACCTGCCAAAACACAGTGGATGCCAGCGTCTGGTTGGGCAAGAGAAGACCAACAACCTGCAAGAGAAAAGATTTTTCTCATTAGCAAATGCATTGTTGGTTTGCTCTCAGTGCTCTTCTAGGCATGCAAACAGTAAGCTTATTTCTAATGACTTGAATAAATTATCTTCATTTATGGCTTTATTTAATTGTAGTTATTGACCTTCCCTTCAGCCTATCGTCTCTCAATTTTCCAGCAGTGAAACTGGGTAATGTAGCTGCCCGTGAAAGCTTTGCATCTTTCATTATTGCTTGCAACACACCTTGAAAAAAGTCTGGCAGCAGATACTGTCCAAAGATTAGTTCATTAAAATATAATCAATTCTTCAATCCAGGTATTTCTGGAGGATAACACAAACACTGCATGAATGCAAGAGTTCAAAGTTGTTACTACTGGAGGGTTTTCTTCTTTTCCTTTGGAACATTCGCTGTTTCAAGTACAAGAAAGAAATCCGATTTGAACATCTGAAGACAGGAGTGCCACCTGGAAGCACATGTGCTCTGGTTTAGGAGCCTGAATTTTGTTTTAAGAGAAGAGAATTGTTGATGTGTCATACTTGGAGCTGTGAAAACTCCCACTTGGGTTATGAGCTCAGGCTGATGATTGCCGTCTCCCAGAGGCTTACAGCAGCCTGTCCCAGCACATCTGGTCAGATGTTGCCTGCTGCTGCGTGAATGCGAGATGCCGCAGGCTTTGCGAGGTTGCTCATCGCAGCACCCAAGGCCACACGCACGTATGTTGCCTATATAGTCTTGAGAGCATCCTTGGGACGTCTCAATATACCTCATAGGCACATCCTCTGCAATTCTTTAAAGGCCCCGTCTCTTACACAAAATGCAGCACTGCCAGACTCCTTCCTACCTTGTTTTATGGCAATCTTTCGTCTTAAAGCATAAGAAGTTGAAGAAGAGGAAATGGATGCAAAGCAAGGGGACTCTCACCAATAAACCCAACAAACATGGAGAGGAAGATGAGTTCTTGGGTAAGAAACAGGTAAGATGAGATAATTCCTAATGTCATTGTCCTTTCCTCCTGTCCTGCACCTTAAATGTCTGATAGTTGCTGAAGATGGGCTTCTTGTTGCAAAATCACACTTGCGCCTTTGTTAAGAAAGAGTATAAAGACTGAACAACTCCTTTTAATTCCAAAGACATTTATTTTCAGGACATTGATGTGAACTGAAACGTCCTCGAGGCATCTGGGCAAGAAGGCTGTGAGTTTATTCCCACAGTCAGATCGTCTTCTGCACCATTTTCTTTAAGTTTATCCCTACAGAAGCTGAGAAGAAAGAAAACTTCCCTGTTAGAGCACGGAGAGCCTGCCACAAGGAGGGATCAGCTAAAGCCGTCTCTGCACATCTGCAGCAGCATCAGTTGAAGAGGAGGCAACTTCTACTCTTAAGGACGTAAGAGAGAAATAACAACAAACAAAAGGGTAATAGGGTTGGGAGGCCTGATTTCATTTACATCTTCTTTCCTTTCTCCTCCTCCTCCTTTCCTCCTACAGCCTTTCATGAAGTTACAGCTACTTTGTACGCTGGCCGAGCGCCAATCTGTGCAAGTTACACTAATTTACCACTTCCATTCAATACGCGGATCTTGTCATTAATTACGCCGTTGCCGGTCTTAACCAAACGAATTCAACAAGCGATGAACCTCCTCACCCCAGGACTGACTTACGCCCCTGAAGCCAGCGGACTAATGAGGCTCCGGAGGAGAAGGAAGACTGCAGGCAGCTACTTACATTTTCAGCTGAAGCTGAGGGCCGAGAAAAATAAAAGAGGAAAATAAATAAATAAAAAAGAGCACCCAAAATCTGTATGACTGAAAGAGGCACGTTTAAATGCAAACTCTCCATATGTGCAAGAGTCTGTCAAGAAATGTACAGTTTCACTTTTAATTACTGTCAGGGGAAAAAATAACTAAGAAGGAAAACAAAATAAAAAAAGCTTCTAAACACTAGGAAAGTACCAACTACAAAATTTAATTGCCTATCAGGTGAGAAGGGCCCTTCGTGGCCCCAAAAGCCAGGGCTCAAGCCGCTGCTGGGACATCTGTCGGCTCCGAGCAGCCTCGCGGCACGTTTGCATTACGAGCTCTCCTCTTGCAAGCCCCAAGTCCTGCCTTGTGTGTCAGCGAGAGTCATCTGCAACCCCGCATGAACACCCGGGTCTTCTCTACGCACTTCAAAAGTTTGACAAGACCCCCCCATTTTTAAATGGCTGGGGAAAATGAGGTGCTTAAAGCTGCAGCTGGCAGCTGGGAACAGCAGCACGGCTTCTGCTCCATCCTCACTGCCCAGAGTCTTGGGTTGAATTTCCTAAATGCAGATAAATCTTCCTCCTTGGAGCCTTTCATCCCTGGGATGAAACACAAACCCAAGGTAAAAGGCTACAGCCCAGCAGCCGCCTCGCACATCTCAGCCCTACAGCAAAGAGAGAGAATGCGAGCGGCTGGATTTGCTCCCTCCTGGGCTGAAATTTAGGTGGGCAAACACAAACTCTCCCTACACTTACATATACTCCATCCTGTTCCCGCTCTGCTGCCGCAACCGATTCTGGGGTCAAACCATAAACCTGAGCGCGGAAAGGACGGAGGCTAAAAAGAAAAGCAAACGATTGCAACTTGGGAAAAGAATAAAGAGCCGCAGGATTTGGTTGTGTCAGGGGAGTAGTAGCTGCTTCGGCCAGAAAAGAAACGATTATTTTCAGCAAGACCTTAAGCTCTTTCACAACGAGCTAAACCATACTGAATTATTTTGCATTAGCTATAGGGTGGGCAGAGGGGCGGAAATCATGTATATAGGCAGCCTCGTGTATTGACTGATGGGCAGTAAACCTGTTAATACATAACCTGATCGAGTCTCTGCCGGAATCTATGGAGGGTGTTTAATTGACCCCCAAAGACCGGGACAATTAGCACGGGTGCAATGGCACGCCGGCGTGGCTTTGCGGGCGAGGACAGCCGCGCTCGCTCAGCCAGAGCCCACCGCAGGCACATTAAGTCTCTCTTGAGGAAATCCCATCCCCCTATGTGAAATGCAAGACTCAAACTGTTTTTATGCTAGAGCAGGCTGCCAATTTTGTCACTAAATTTCACAGATCGATTGGCATAAATGTTACATTTTAATTTTAACATTTGAAACGTTTGGGTTTTTTTTTTTTTTTTTTTAAATGACAAGAGGTTCCAGTTTATCCTTTACAGCTAGTGAAATTGGGCTCATCTGACAGCTCTCGGCTCCTTTGACAGCTCTGGATTTGGGCCGATTTCATTGTCAATTTGATCGTTAACTCATTTTTGTTTAACCTTTTCTTTTAAAATGCCCCATACAAAGTTACCACCAAACCCTTACGCACAACAACAAATAGTAACAGCCGCGATGATTTCTGCTTTTAGGGGCTAGCAACCCCGCTATCGCCGTTTGGGAAAGGATCATTGCCTTTGAGCAAGTACTACGCCACGGTCCACTGGGTTTAGGAAGATTAAATTTAGCAGATTCTGCTCCTTCAAACCATTTTAATATGTGTCATCTAATAAGCTGAGCCAAGAGCTGGCAGCTAAGAGGACCAGCTACCTTCTGGCACCAACTTTGGGTGATCCGGGGCAAAACTGCGTGCCTCAGTTTCCCCATTCATAAAATGGGGTTAATTAATCGTTCCTGTTCCCACAGATGAGCTGAGGTTTCAGCATTAGGAAGACAGGCAGAATTATCTCCCTTCTGGCTTTTGCTATCGAGAGCACCCAAATGCTTACAAATTTCATAATAACAAGTACAAACTAAAAACGCCCTTAGCAATAACCCCAAGGAAAGCACTCGCCGTTTTAATTAATCAAGACGAGAGCGCACGACACCGGCCTCGCTGTGCTGTAGCTCATCACGTTTGGGAAGCGACTTGTAAAACATGTAAATGGAAAAAAAAAAAAAAAAGCGTCCAAAGATGAAATCTGAGAGTTGCAGAAGTTGCATTTTGCAGGCAATGAGCTCATCTTGGTCTTCCATTTCCAGAAGGGAAAGATAAAGCTGAAGACGTTGCAGGGGGCTGGGTGAATGACGTTAAATAGATAAAAAATAGATAAATAACCTTGAGCACAACGTCCGTAGGGCGGGTTTTACACGACGAAGCCCTTGCTAACATGCAATGGGAAAGGTGGGAGCCCTGTGCGAACATGTCGCGAGGAGGTAAGGTGGAATTTGGAGAATTGTCTGCGACTGCTAAAAAATGCATTTCTTGGTACTTGCAAACAAAGCGGGGAGAGATGTTAAAATACTTACGATGGGTGTTCCAAAGGGAATGTAACCTATTTTAAAAAAAAAAAGAAAGAGAAGAGATGCATGCATTTTAATACACAGTTTGGGGATGGAAAAAAAAAAAATCACATCTAAGACATCTACAGGTTTAGGGTAGAAGCCACACCTGGCATGAGGGGCTGCGCTCGTTTCCACCAGCTCCGTACCACCACGGGGACATCCCTGGACCTGCACCTGATGCACCAAGCATCGACTACAGCAGCCTCCTGATTTTTGCCCAATCTCCTTCCCATCCTCTACTTGCTTTTCTTGGATTGCAGTCTAAGAGTTTCCCTGAAACTTATAATGTGTAGACCCTAAAGCTTATTCCAGTAAACCCAGTCTGTGCCAGTACGCGGTATCAGCACTTCAGAGGGCATCGTGGTGTTGGGCTGGGCTAGGCGGCCAGCAAAAACTCAAATCAGCAGAAGAGAAGGGATCACAGCTCAGACCAGGAGCTGCTCGGTCCGGACCAGGATGCTGCTGCAGTGGTGCTAACGGAGCTGACCCAGTGGCTCGCTGCCACGGAAAGGGGGAGATCCTGCCCCCCTTCCCAGGCTCAGTCACACAATCTGTTCCCTCCCTCGTGCCAGCTCTGTTGCTCATCAGACCCTCCCACAACCTACCCTCGCTAACCCAGGAGAAATCTCTCCAGCTTTCGGTGCCCCTTCCCCTCTTGTTGAGCCTGGTCCCACCAGGAGAGCGTGCTGAAGACGCTCATGGAGCCATCTAACAAGCTGCAGAGCCCATGCCAGTCAAGGAGCAGGACCATGCCACCATAGGTGGGACCTCCCGCTTTCACCATCTGCTTTATCAACCTCTCCGCTAGCCATTTTGTACCAGGAGAGCTCATTTATTTCTAGGTAGAAAAAGGACCCGGCTATAAGCTGAAGAAAGTATATTTGCATCATGGAGGAGAGAGGGACTATTTTAATCATAGGTGTAAGTTAAAGCTCCCTATATTAGACATAAGCCTTTACCCCAAATCTTATTGAGCGCCACAAAAATCAAATGCTTCACATTTTTCCCCTGCTAAGTCTGCCAATTTTTGTGCTAATTATAATTCATCTCTATGACTTCCACTAGAAGGTCTCAGAGCATTTTACCAATATTACTGAATTAAGCCTCATGGATCCAATTTACAGTTGGAAAGGGCAAAGACCTGAGAGGAAGAAAAATTTAAAAAAAAAAATACAGAACAAGGCAGCAAAGCAGTGGGCCCTGGCTTTTCTCCCCTCCACTTCACCCTCAACGTCATCCTTCTTCAAAGAACTGGAGAACAAAACCCACAAGCCCTGTTATTTTTCCTCTGTGCCTGGTATTCAGGTGAAGACGTTCCCCCCAAAAAATATGGAAAAGGTCCTATTTATTTGAACAGGTCCTTTGGGAAAGGACCAAGGCTGCACTTGCATCCTCAAGAGAGCTGCTATTCAACCCACCGCAGAAGTAGCTGTGGACCTGTGCGTGGCAGAGGGACACCCCAAAATTGGAAGGAGGAGGTGACAATTTAATCATTGAGCAGCCTGGTTAAGCCACGGACAAACTGATCCTTCCTGGGCTCCCAAAGCCACGGCTATTAGGTACCACCGCACATGGAAAAATAGGGCTCATCCCATTCTCTCCTGGAGAGTAAAACCCTAAGCTGCTCGTTGGGCATCAAGCGTCGCCGTTTACTGCAAAATTAAAATGCCCATTATAGTGACGGATACCTCAGAAATGCCAGAAAAGACATTAGCTTGAGTCCACGTTAAAATATCTGAAGGAAAGGAAAATATTAAGCGCTAGATCTCGCAGAGGCATTTAGGATCCTAATTCTCCCCGACTGCAAAGGGATTTAGGCATTTGAATTCACTTTCTGATCTTGGTCTAAATGTTGACATTTAGATGCAAATTGACATGAAGATGCAATTCAAAAACAGGAGGAAAAAAAAAAAACCCCAACATTTTGTACAAATTCCCAGTAAAATTAATGATTGATTGGGACATACTCTACCTGACATTCGGAAAGGCATGAAGATGGTCTCGTTTGTATCGGGATGGATGATGGCCTGCAAAAGAGTCAGCAAACAGAGAGAGTGAGGGCACAGCAGCAGTGGGCAAGGCGCAGCGAGGCCAGCGCTCGGCCTCTACGGACGGCGCCTTCGACCGAGTGCCGGGCGCTTCACGCATCTCGGCACCCTCCTCGCTTTTGCAGCTCCGACCAAAGGCGGTTATTGCTCGGCAGCCTCCACAAAACCTCCTTCTGCCGCTGCTTTCCCCTCTCCTTAAATAATTTAGCAGTAAAGAATTTAAGCTGAAATAATTTAGCAGTAAAGAATTTAAGCTGAAATAGGGGAAGTGGCTCTTTCTTGGTACTATAATATCCCCAAAGGCGACCCACCGCTGTACCTTAACCCCAGGGGGGGAAATGCAGATTTAGGAGGGGAAAAGGGAAACCTATTTTCTATCCCTGCCTGTCCTCAGCATCCTCACTGAGGTGCAGCTTAATATCCTGGCTGAAACTCTGCCCTGTGAAAGAAAGGAGAAGCCCTGGCCGTGGCGGAGGGATGGGGAGGGCAGGACTGCCTGCTCGGGAGGGAACGAGGGTGTAAATCGCTTTACGCCGCTCGTGAAGCCAACGGGTCACGGGAGACCCTCGTAAGGACTTGCGTGGCTCAGCCACGGCGGACGGATTCAGTCCGAGGAACATCCTCCCTGTCTGCAGGTACGCCTGCCGGAGCCCGCACGGCACGTCGTAGGAAGCCTGAAATGCTGCTTCGGGATCCGGCTGAGTTGGGATGAAAACGTGCAGGTATGGCCCACTCCGGTTGTCACCATAAGGGTCACCCAAATCATAGAATCATAGAATCATTTAGGTTGGAAAAGACCTTTAAGATCATCCAGTCCAACCATAAAATCCCCTCACGTGCCATGGGATTTGGATTTGCCAGATAATTCAACCTTTACGTGTATCCGCAGCTTCTCAGCCAACCCTGGACAGCCCAACCTCCACGGAAATCCTAAATCTGTTTTACTGATAAACAAGACAATGAAGCTCACTTGGCCCATTTTCACCAAATTTTACAATGAGCCCAGGAGGCTGCAGCAGCATTAACTGGCTGGGGATGAAAAATCAGTTCTGCAGAAGAGGAAGGTACGACACAGTTACAAGCCTTACCAAAGAACTGTCAAACTATTTTCAAAAGACTGGAGACAAGAAATCTCTTGACTAGACAGGAAGGAGAAAATGAAGACATCAAAGTATATAAATACAAAAAAAAAAAAAAAAAGAAAGAAAAAATCAGACTCTTTGGTGGCAACAGCGTTCTCTGCATTTACATTTCTGTGGCAAGACAAAACAGCAACTGGCACAGTCAATAATGGAGAAGAGGACAGCATCGCTTAGCAAAAAGGAAAAAAGCAGCAATAATTGAAAACAATAATGAAATAGAAAAAAAGTGCGTTACCTGCTTTATTTTTTGAGCTCCCCACAGCTAGAAAAACAAAAGAACATTGCATTTAAAAAAACGAGCAGTGTAGTTTTATACCAAACCCCAAATATTCATCTTTTAGCTGCTGTAGTAAATGAACACGAGGGACTGCGTTAGAAGAGAATCATTTTCTGCATCCTTCCAGGATGTATTTAAAGATCCTTTACACACACCGAGCGCCTTCAAATCTGTGTGGCCAGCGAGACCAGCAAGACAGAGAAGATATTCTTTCTTACATTAAATAGTAAGAAAGAATAACAACAGCCAGACTTCACACTCTGCTATAAGCTTTACAAATCGAGAATTATCTCAGTAACTCCGCCGCACGTAGACCTCAAGGTAAATTTAGCACAGCCTCTCCTTGGACGAGCTTCCTGCGGAAATCGAGGCTTGCTGGGGAACAAAGGTGGAGCAAGCCCCGCAGGGAAATATAAGAAATATGTCTTCAAATAAAACCTGGATTCAGAATAAACCACCACTAGTTTTCATTTTTCACAAGGGAAACGCACCGGAAAATGCTCGCAAAGGGGAAAAAATCTCATTTAAAACTCTCACGAGCGCCCACTGCCATTTACTGACTGTAATTCAGCAGCATCAAAACACCTCAAATCTGGCTCCGACAGAGATCTCTGAGCACCGAGGAAGAAACATCATACCTGAGGTGCAGGTAGAGCTAATGAGTAGGTGCACATCACCACGAGATGTTCTGGCATATACATAAACCCAGAATTTGCTCCCTGCTTAATAAAGCCAGAGGGCTTTCCTCCATGAATTACACCTAAATGCAAATTATAATCTAAAAAAAAAAAAAGGAAAAAAAAAAAATCCCCATTTTCCCATTTCCAAGTATGCTCAAGAGAAGGATGAAAAACCAGGACTCCTGTAAAATATCACAAAAGATCAATTGCTTTTACTATTAAAAACTGTTCTGTTCAGCTCAAGTCTGGCTTCAACTTCCAGGCACGGGCTTGTGTTACACCTCTGTCTGACAGCCTCCAGCGCTGTCTATTTTTGTTCTTCACACAGGTACTCGGAGCTGCTAAAGCCACCCTTTAACCTTCGTTTAAAGCAAAAAAAAAAAAAAAAAAAACCAACAAAATTCATCCGAGCCAGGAGACTGGCTGTTTCGTTGGCAAGGCGCTTTTGCCAATCTTTTAACCACCCTCGTGGCTCTTTTACATCTTTCCAATTTGTCAACATCCTCTTGAATCGAGGACGCCAGAAACCAGACAAATTATTCCAACAACAGTTGTACCAGTGCCAACCCAAGGGTAGGCTAACCTGATGAGTTCTGCTCTTGCTGTTGATAAATCCAAAGACGGCGATAGCTCTTTTTGCTTGGAGAGCTCACGATTACCCACCAGAATACCCACCCAAGCGCCGCGTGCGTATTCCGCAATACAGGCATTCACGCTTAAGATTTTATCATTATTACGGTATAAATTCAGCCCCGTTCTGCCATTCTTCTTCACCCGAGGTTTAGTGCCTTCCACAAATATAAATCCATTAAAATACTGTCGGAATATGGTAATTACTCTATTATAAATAGCATAAAGCGACCCACTGATACCAGCAACCCCAGTATTTCACTCCAAATTCAGCTCTCACTCCGGAATTGGAGCTCCGTGATGAACTCCACTGCGTGCGATGAGTTACTGGAATATCTAAATGTCACAGGCTGATGCACGTACCCACGGGGCTCTTTCCTGAGGAAAACTTCCCTTTTTAAGGAAAATCATTATTCCCCCGTTTACAGCTGAAAAACACAGGTTGAGGGACATGACGAGACAATCTTTGTGGTTGGCAGAGACAAGATGTGTCTACCCTCACCAATCCTAAAATCCAAAGGCTGCACAGCCAGACAGCTACCGTGGCTTTTCTGCACCTGCCCGCCCACCAGCTCGAAAACTTCCATGGGGTGGAAGTGGAAGTCCTCGAGCCACAGGTGCCTACCCAAAGCATCCCAGTAACCCTGTGGCTGCCCAGGTCTCGCGTATCTTAGATGTGAAACGAAACCACAGGATTCTCCTCTCCAACTGCAAGCACCAAGACTAGCAAAAAGGAAGAGGGATGGTTTCTGAGCCAGCGCTATGGCTTTTTTGGTCAAATTATCTAATTTCATTAATTGATCCCAATATTTATGCATTTTCCTGCTGCAGTGCAAATATTGTTAGAACATGCGATTTCATTACTTCTCAGAAAGAGACTTTACAAGATGCACCTGATGAGTCACCTAAAGATTCTGCCAGCTCATTTTCACTTTTTTATCCTCTAATTCATTTTCTGTCTGCAGCATTTTTCAATAGCTCCAGTACTCTGACGAGTCTTGCCAGCTGGGGGGCTCGTTTCTGAGAGCGAGTCTCTATTTTTGCTGGGGATTTCATTCACGCTCTCTCCGGCCATCTTCAAGAAGCAGCCAGATTTTGGTCTCATTTACGCTAGTGTGAATCCAAAGTATCTTCGCTGGAGCACGTGGAACGATTCCAGATTCGTGCTCAATTTCTGTTAGATTTAGGTCCATGATCTGTAAGCCTATACTGGGTGGGTCTCCTGTAATAGATGATTTTCCTTTACATCAGCTTTGCTGTATATTACTGGCTCAAAGCCACATCAGAGTTTTGCCACCATTCACATTTGGGTGCAAGAACCAAACCTGCTCACACATGGGTTTACACCAAAGCAGCCCGGAGGACAAGGGGGCAGGAGCACTGGAGCACTGTTAACATATTCCACTGTCCACCCAGAAACTTAAGCAGGCAGCGATGGACAAGTTCCTCCAGCCTGTGGCCACTGCAACCTTCTACCAGGACAGATCAGGCTCTGCTTCACAGAAGCGTCCTTCATGGTCGTGGAGGAATCGGCTCCAGGACCGTTCACAAGTGCTCCCAGCACCAGCACTTCAGGACCACTGGACTCATGGATGAGATTTCCATCCATCCTTCCCAGGATTCTGTTTCTTCTACAATTTTTCAAGGAAGAGATACTCACTGCTTTGCTCACCACCTACAGCAGATCGCTTTAAAACCCTGAACTCAGAACTGAACTCAGTTATACAGAAACGTTACACGCTTATGACGTTCAAGGAAGGGTATCAAAGACTGCCACAACCTAAAGAGAACCAAAGCTGTGGTAAGGAGCTAGAGACTGGAATAACTCTTGGGGAATAGATATGACCTTTGGTTGACAGGACATTCATTAGCATTCCTTATTTAGCAGCAGAATCACAGCTTAGAGAGAGCTTTCGAAAAAAAGTATTTATTTAGAGAATATATCCAGCCTAAATCTATTAGCTAACACCTGCCACTATAGAAACACTACAAAGGGTACCAGTTATTCCTAAGAGATTAACTTCCTTCCTATTAAATACAGTAAGATTTCATGGTCCTGGACTCAAAGATGGGATTTCCCACCCCGCCCTGCCACTGCACAAAGTTTCACCTAGATTAGAAAACCACATTTACAAATTGTTCACCCCTGTTTACAGCCTGCTCCAACGCTGCTAAAACAAGAGGCCAGCTCCACCCTACACAAGTGCAGCTGGCTGTATCCAGACCACCTACTGCATCGCTGAAGTTGGCCTCGGGGGTCTAAGGTCAGGAGAGCACCGACAGATTCACACCACCTACTCCCTTGCGTTGCCAGCAACCACCTCCCTGCAGCCCATGGAGCCACAAAGGCAGATTTCATGTCGGGAATCTGTAATAGATGCTCCAACGCTTCCCTCCCTCGACCGCACGTGCCAACGGGATCTGAGTCCCTTGCACAATAGAGTAGTAGACATTGAAATGATCTGAAACCCAGGGGTGCATGCTCTGGGTATGCCACATCAGGAATAACTACGGAGAAAAGCCCTTACTGACTAACCGCACGTTAACCGTGCATAATGACAAGGCAGTTATTTTCAAAGACATAATGAAGAGTCACATGGTAGATGAGCCCCACGTTAAGAGAAAACACAGCAGTTTAAGTTCTGCAAAGTGGTCTACCTGTGTTAGACTTTGCACCATCATCACTCACAACAGTTTGCAAAATTCCCCTGGTAAAGACAAGGCCAAAGAGGAAATCCTCAGAAGAATGAGTATTTTTAGTTAATTTGTTTCATTATATATTTATTTTTAGTTAATTTATTTCATCTGTCTAGTCAAGTGGAGACAGAGTTCCATCTCAAAATCTGCTCGTCCCCTTCCCGCTCCATCAGGGAAGTTCTCACCCTTTCACAAGACCCCACCTGCACCCATGAAATCTTGATTTTAATAAGATAACAGCCTGGAGTTTGCACCCCATCAGAAATTGCCAGTAGTTTCACACTCTGGGAGTTGCAAGGTTTATTAAAGCAAAGCGCGGATTATCTATCCCACACTGAATCCCAAATATTGGGTGTCGGGAGCGGAACGTGTGATGCAGCAAAGCTCATTCTGAAAAAGAGGAGCAAGCTGCTTTCATGTGCGTGTCCATTCACAGGGACAGCCTTCAAAACCAGATGCACTTTCCAATAATCCCAATTGTTTAAATGATAGGAAACCAGAGGGAAAAAAGAAAAGAAAAAAAGAAAACCTTGCTCAAAAGGCGTAACTTACTGTGCTTGGAAAATTCACCAAGGAACACTTCAGACCAGCAACAGGGATCTGGCATCACATTAGCGTCAAGCGATAGCGATGACTCTGAACAAGCCTTAACTTCATTCTGGATCCCTTAACTGGTAGTCAAATGGCCAGAGTAAGACACCAGAGGTGGGATTCATCCCCTCTAATAGACATCTACAAATAATAAATACCTACTGCAGAAAATTCTCTGCATTTCCTTTGTCAGCAGGCAGAAAGCAGACAGCTCGACTCATCATAACTAGACGACCAGTACAGGCTGGACAACCTGCACTCCAGCAGTGCTTGCTTCTCTCCGTTGACTTTAAGATAGGACCCACGTGATTAGTTGTGGCTCAAACTGGGTTTGGCTCAAGATGTGAAAACATCCCGAAGCATCAAGCACCTGCAGCTCGCACCGAC